AGAAACCGATTAATAACTCATATATACCAAACAAACAGAATAGCAATATGATCACAAACTGAATAGATGTTGGGCACTTGCGATCCATATTCTGCACCTAGCTGTGTTTCAAAGTATGAAAGTCTCTGTCAGAACTCCAATTCAATGATGTTTACATCTGTCTTTCGGATATTTCTTAGCAAATTAATGACTGGTGACGGTTACAGCAAGTTAATGTCTGCTTTTGTATTTAGTGTCAGTTGCTTTTGCTTAGATTGATATTTGTTTGCAGGGAAAATCTATTCATTCATTTATACTTAAATTTCAATTTATACTGCAATTGCACTTAGAATAGAAGCTGAATAAAAAGCATACAAATCTACTGCCCTGGTTATACCGTAGATTGTTAAGAGTCAATGATGCTACCATCCGGTACAAATCCATAAATTTCTACTTTCGGGCTGTTGTTTCTTTGAGGGAATTCTGTAGAAGCACAGCACAGGCATATCTCCTCCTCGTTTAGTAATGCTGTGTGTTATTACACAACAATTGTTTGGCTTTTTGGCTAAAAAAGAGAAATCACTTAGACTGTGAGTTGGCAGTCAGCAGGAGTTTTTTCCCATTATGTGTTCTCCTAATGGTGTGACATCACATGAATACCATCAAACTATCCCAACCATTTTGAGAGACATTTCTCTGTTAAAAACAATTAAATATGCAGGAAGTAATTCATAGTTTATTTACTTGGTAATTTTAAGGCAACAGGTTTAATCACTATTTTAGGTAAAGTCAACTAATCACCTTTTTTTTTACAGTATCTTACATCTCCCCATCTTATTACATTTGCAAATACATTCGCTAATGCAGCAATTCCATTGGCTGTTGTGATTGTGGTTTCACACATTTCAAGAAGCAAGACTTTTGCCCTTCCGTTTTGCAAATCTGTCACAAGATCCGAGTCTAAGAGATTATAAAAAACCCCTGACTGCTATTGGAGAAAAAGGCTTCTCGGGTCAGTATGTAAAAGTAAGTCCCTTTGACTTAAAATGTTTTATAAATATTTCACTGGATCTCAACATGAGTCATCACGCCTCAATAAAAAGGCTTCCCCAAAACACTTCGCTTTACTGGGCCCCTTTGATTTGTCATGAATGCTGAGAAAAGTGTGCTTGGAATTTTATCACGAGAGGAGAAATTGCTGACTCACGCCTTCCTGTTTGAGCTGAAAGCGGCAGCAGGAAACCACAGCAGCAGAGGTCTGGGTGTTGGTTGTGATGTCGCTCACTTATCTCTATTCTCTAAACATTTAAAGCCCCAGGGGTGAGTTTAAGGCAGGGAGCAATGCAGGGCAGTTCTCATATTCATCTGAGCAACAAGAACCAGAGCTGCAGGAGAGATGTTCAGCAAAGGATCTGACTTCAGGAATGTGATATTGCTGAACCAAAGTTGGAATATTTACCTAAACATAAATGTATTTCTTAAATAGGCTAAAATACAATAAAAAAATGAAAATTTAAAGTAAACAAACATATGTATTATTGATTTTTGCATCGAAGGTCTAAAATGAACATTTTTCTCTGTCTGGTATAAAGAAAAGAAACTATTGCCGTAAAAGTGAATTTGCAAAACCTGCACACGAGTCTCAGAAAGAAAATGCCAATTTCTGTATCATTTATTTTTTTATATATGTATTATTATTATTATAATTATTTTAATTATTATAATTATTATTAGTAGTAGTAGTAGTAGTAGTGATTGTGGAAAGATTGTGAATGTATTTAAATTCATTGTTATCTCAGTCTTTTGTGTACTTCTAGGAAGTATTAATGCCTTTCTGTTACTGTTCAAGCATTGTTAATAAAAAAAAAAAAGAAAATAGAAAATGGCGATTTTTTTTTTATCCTTAAAGGCTTTTAATCTGATGTCTTAACTTATTTATTACAAAATCTGTATTTCATATTTAAAGATGGCTGACCTCATTTTATCTAGATTTAATCCTTTAGCGGGTGAGAAATCATGGAAACTTTTACTGACATTGAATACAAAATAATGTAAAAATATATATAAATAAATAATATGAAGGCTAAGTCATAAAAGTCTTGTAACCCCCAATAAGACTCCAAGACTTTTGCAATGAATATTTTAATGAGTGAGCTATAAAAGGTTGATAATGAAAATTTAAAAATGAACCTTCTTAAAAAAAAGATTATTGTTTTTAATGAATTTCCTGCTCCGTTTGGATAATAGTTTCCTAAAAAGTGCAAAAGTGAAATTGTAATATTTTGTCTGAAGATAAATAAATACCTTCTTAGCACAATAAACATACCAATACTATACAGTTTCAGCTACAACTTTTCAGTAAGAATTTTCTAAAAAAAACATTGCGAATTAGGGAGACGCAGTGGCGCAGTGGGTAGCACGTTTGCCTCACAGCAAGAAGGTCGCTGGGTCGCAGGTTTGAACCTTGGCTCAGTTGGCGTTTCTGTGTGGAGTTTGCATGTTCTCCCTGCATTTGCATGGGTTTCCTCCGGGTGCTCCAGTCTCCCCCACAGTCCAAAGACATGCGGTACAGGTGAATTGGGTAGGCTAAATTGTCTGTATTGTATGAGTGTGTGTGATTGTTTCCCTGAGATGGGCATCCGTTGCGTAAAAAACTTGCTGGATAAGTTGGTGGTTCATTCTGCTGTGGCAACCCCAGATTAATAAAGGGACTAAGCCGACAAGAAAATGAATGAATGAACACTGCAAATTATTTATTTGGGTTAGATTTAAACAAACAATTTATATTCAGTAATATTCAACTTTATTTATTTGTTTAAATTTAGGCCAAATCAATTGTTTACAACCACTTAACTTTTAAAAGAAAAAGTAAATCCAAGGATATTTGAGCATAAAAATATTTTAAATACTTTTATCAACCACACATGTCTGATGTAGTGTATATAAGCACTAATTACTGAGGCACCATTATCTAATTCTTCAATCAATTCCTGATGAACGGAAGCCTCACGGCCTGTTATCTCAGGAGGAAGCCAACAAATGACAACAATCATTTTAAGGTTTCCTGCTTAAAACTGCCTCTGATGCTGTTTTCAGTTTCTTTAAAAGAGACCTATTATGCCCCTTTTTACAAGATGTAAAATAAATCTCTGATGTCTCTACGGTGTGTGTGAAGTTACAGCTCAAAATACTGCACACATACATATATTATTAATTCTTTGAAACTGACCTCTTTAGACTTTATGCTCTTTAGGCTTTGAATTTAAAGCGACAGTTACCAAAATGGCACAATTTGGATAATTGTGACATTTTTGTAACTGTTGTTTTAAATTCAACTGAGATCTTTTTAAAAGAGGGCGGAGCGACAAATGGCCGTGCCTAATCATGGTGGCAGATTTAAATAAGTAGTAATGTTATCTAAGTAAAAAAAAAAAAGAAAAAGGAAATGTGAAAAGAAGTGTTTCAGGAGAGGGCAACGTTGCTATGTAGACTACAATGTTCAGTTGTGCATCCTAAAACTCCACATTTATAATCTTTCCTCACTCACGGCTGTTTATGCTAATGAGGGGAAGATTGTCACTAATGGGCGTGGCTTTCCCCCTAGTGAAGAATGTCAATATAAGTGTTTCTGCAGACTGTTCTTATCAATATATAATGTTACTTAATTTTTTTACCATTAGAGGCTGGCTATTGTCACACACTGATGCCACACAACTGTATTTAAAGCCATTATAATGAGATTTTTACATAATAGTTCCCCTTTTTTTGCATATCCAAATAAGATAATAATAAAATAAGAAAATTAAAAACGAAGAAAGAAACTTCTGTACATTAGCATCTAACATTAAAGGGCAGAAATGTCCTTTCATCACATTAGAAATTTCAGCACTGACTGCTGCCAATTAACTGATGATTTATTTTTTTATACATCTCACAATTCACAAAATAATTTATTTCTAACAATGTCCATTACCATATTATTAGGCTACATTTGACCAAAGTAGTGAGGTGCTGTATCGCTACAATCGTATTAAAGATGAGGATACTGCCGTTTTTACAGCACCTTTAATGAATGCAACTTATTGTATGCAACAACAACAAATCAGCTACTCTCAACCCAAGTTACTTTTTTTTTTTAACCAAACCACATTTGTACTATTATAAACAATACTTGTGCCTTGTTACTAGGAACTTAAAGGCAATGTCACTGCAATGTCAAACTTTTTCATCAGAGAAGAAATCGGGTGTGTTTTCCGCTGTGATGAACTGATGCTTATCATAATGATCTTTCAAAAGTATGTGTAGTTTAGACAAACTTTAATCAATAAGGATAAGTCAATACTTTTCATCCAAAAATGCAAAATTACTTTAAAATTAGTAAAATTTGTAAAATTATTACTTTTCAAATTAGGCAGCGTTTCCATCCAATGAGTCAAAGAGAACAAAATCGTCATGTCCTGATTATCTGGCACCAAATATCAACAGTAAAAACAGAATTTGCTGCTTACAGTAGGAGAAGCTGCGTGAATCTTTTCTTCATTTAATAAATGTCTTGTGCCTCAGAACGCAATCCTGACACGCAGTGAACACATGGTAGCGTTTAAAGGCGTGAGACGCGGAGCGCAGACACTATTAATTTTGTAGGTAATCCATAATATAATAACACTAATACTGAAATAAAACAACATTTGAAACAACATTTCATATGGTTTACAATGTGCTCAGCCTGCTGGTTTGTCAAAATCACATCACTTTTTATAATGCGCACACTGGAATTTGTTTGGTAAAAGTGTTTCCATCGTAGTTTATGCATATCTTTTCTTATCAAATAAAACGTTTATGCACTTTTTAAAAATGTATGCGCATCTTGCCGTTTCAATCAAAAAAAAAATTTTATGCGCATGTACAAAATGCACATAAAAATAGGTGGATGGAAACATAGCCACTGAAAGCTGTGATTGAGTCTAAACCTTCTGCCATCAATCTGAATGTCTGGCCAAACAAGACTAACTGACAATATGGACTAACTTAAATATTTTATTGAAAACAATACAGACTTGAAAGAACAATGAAACAAATGTAAAAAGAACAACGTAGAAATAGATGGAACTGTGAAAATGTGCCAAATAAAATATTTACTAATATACAAGGAGGCAGTTTTCTTGCTACAGTATATTCCCCATAATCCATTTTGGTGTGGATTTAGTCCATTCTGTGTTTTGTACATCCTTATTACAGTTCATACAGTTTCCACATGGAGGTTATGGCTGCATCTCATACTGGCCTTCAGTAGCAATGAAGAAGTCATTGAGTGTGTCCTGCAGATATTCAAAAGTAGGCCTGTCCTCTGGCTTTTCCATCCAACACTTTGTCATGATGTCATAGAGCTCTCCTGGACATGCGTCTGGACACGGCATCCTATAGTTCCTGTCAAGGTTACGGATCACCTCCGGATTCGTCATGCCTGAAATTGTGAAGAAAATCCCAACCTGGTTGCTCAAGATCTACTCATCTCTCCTACACAACACAGCTGTGAGTGGAAGCCAAAACCCAAGTGAGGAAAAACGTATTACCTGGATACGGTACTCGGCCATATGTGACAATCTCTGTTAAAAGAATTCCGAAGGACCACACGTCTGACTTGATGGTGAAAGTACCGTAGTTGATGGCTTCAGGAGCCGTCCACTTAATAGGGAACTTTGCACCTGATCAATAAAACAAGATGCAATGATAGGCCATGAATAGTGGTGTGGAACATATACTGTAAGCATGCATGGAAAATACATTTATAATTTGATTGAATCAGTTACTGAAATTACTATAAATAAAGCCAGAGTGATCATGCAATCACGCTGTAAAGTGGAAAAAAAGTCACCACGGAAAGTTCAACGCAGATAGAAGGTGGCGTTTTTGAATATCAGCAGCTCGTATCAAACTTTAAAAATCAGATATGTCTGTGCATTGCATTAGAAACCAAATGTCAGAACTGACTGGTGCTTGTTAATTTGTGGTAGTGTAAAAAAGTAGCTAAATACATTGGTGTACTCACCCTCTTGTGCAGTGTATTCTGTTTCTATGATCCTGGCAAGACCAAAGTCAGCTATTTTACAGTGCAGGGTCTCTGAGACGAGAATATTAGCGGCACGCAGGTCTCTGTGAATGTAGTTTTTTCTCTCGATGTAAGCCATGCCCTCCGCTATCTGTGAGAATATTTATTTAGGGTGAGTTCAACACAAAAATTAATCATTTAGTTATTTTTTACTCACACTCGGATTTAAACTTTAACAAATTTCTTTCTTCTGTTGAACACTGGGGGGCGGGGGAGTGGGGTGGGGGGGGGGGGGGGGGCTAATAATTCTGACTTCAACTGTATTTTGTGTACAGTACATTTGCATTGCAGACTATAAATATCAGACAGCATCAACAGTGGGCTCTAACAGGAAGCTGTGTGTTGCATACAGAGACCAAGATCACAGTCATGCACAGTTGGGGCTTCAGTGCGATGGAAAAATCTACGCAATATCCTGCCCGGAAGATATTAATCTGAATTTGTGGTGGATCTTAAAAGTGTTCAGCTCTACTAAATGCTCAGACCATGAGCTTACAAAACCAAAAAGGCCATTTCCTCTTCTCATCTCTGAATAGTTTTGATGCAAAGCAGTTCCTAAAATAGTTACAAAAGTTGCATGAATGTGCACAAATGCATACTATTAAACACAAATCATCAATGTGCACAATGTTCAAGTGTTTTTGTTTCAAATCTGCAGGGCCACAGAAATATTTAAGTGCTGCTAAGTAACGAAGGCAATCAAAAGAAATTAAAACAAAATAAATAAATGATTCTTACTTGAGCAGTCATATCAATCAGCTTGGAAAGTTTTAATTTATGGCCATCGTCTGTCTTCAGAAAGTCTAACAGGCTTCCTTAAAAAGAAAAAGGACAATTGCATCATTTAGACATTTGCCACATAATTTAAAAACACACGTGTTTTATTAAATATAATAATATGGTTCTAACCATTAGCCATGTACTCAGTGACAATATAAATGGGCTCTCTGGTGACGACAGCGTGCAGTTTGACCAGTCTCTCATGCTGGAGCTGCTTCATCAGATTGGCCTCCTGCAGGAAGGCTTCAGGCTCCATCGTGCCTTCCTTTAAAGTCTTGATGGCAACTTTTTGGTTGTTTTTGTAGAACCCTAAATACAAGAGCAACAGACACACAGGCTTGTTACTGTAAGTATTCGCCACAGCGGAATGAACCGCCTACTGTAAATATAAAGATTCTATTTACTGTTTGTGTGTATAAATATACTGTATATAAAGGAAATTAGGTCAGAGATTGCTGCAACTTATGTCATAAAAACTATGTATATTTAGTTTTTTTATGACTGATTATTTTGGCCATATGTTTAGATTAATAAGAAATCAAGAATTCCTTCACAGAATCTTTTATTCTGTAATCATCTTTGAATAATTTTCTTTTGTTTCTACTTTCAGAAAGTATAAATACACAAACATACTACACAAAATACATTTAGAAACAAATTGTCATTGTTTACAAAGAACATTTAACTCTTTTTTACACATCTGGCAAACAGCCTAGTCATTTTGTGGTTTAGTTTAGTTTAGTTTAGTTTAGTTTAGTTTAGTTTAGTTTAGTTTAGTTTAGTTTAGTTTAGTTTAGTTTAGTTTAGTTTAGACTTTATTGTTCATTCTATTTGGCACAGAAAGGAAATTTGTCTTTGAAACTGGTAACTTACATACAACCATACATTAATCACATAATATCATCACTTTTTAAGACAACAACATTAATTAAAAACTTTAAACCAAATTAGCCCCATACATATTACTGCAGATCATTCTTAACATTCACCCCATCTACATCAAACAGTGATCCTATTTAAGACAACAACTGCAATTGGGATAAATGACTTTTTGTAAGAATTTCTTCGGGCTCTAGGAATTTTAATCCTGCATCCAGATGCTAACATTTCGAGTGAAGGGGATGTGTATTATTTTTAAACATTGCAGTTGGTCTTTTTCCATGAAGGAATCAAATAGAAACTGCAGCAAATGTTGTTTGTTGCCAGTTATCTTATTTGCCTGATTGATAATTTGCGATGATTTTTTTTTCTGTTTGAGTGTTGTGTTACCAAACCATAAAAAGAAATATTATATGTGAGAACACTGTCTATTAATGGTCTACATGCCATGTTTAAAGTCTGTGTACTAAGATTAAAATTTCCCAATTTTCAGTGGAGACTGAGACGCTGACTTCCCTTCTTATAAACAGCCTCTACATTATTATCAAAATTCAGTTTATTGTCAATAATTGTGCCTAAATACTTCAAATTTGAGACCTGCTCTACTATTTTTCAACTTATGATGAACTAGATAAAATCTAGTATCTACTGCTCTTTTTTAAGCATAAAACCTACTAAATATATAACGATAAAACAATTATTATACATTTTCAAATACACTTAAAATAATTCTGTTCAAAAAGCAACAATAAATATTCTATATTATAAACACTTACAAAAACATATTCTATTAATAGTATTATTTTTCCACCATACAAGAAAAAATAAAGTAATTTATAAAACCATTTAGCAAAGTATATTAAAGTACATATTGTAGAATTTACAACACATTAGTTAATTAATGCTAAAGAACACTGCAGTATTAATTATCTTAAACTAATAAACTGCAATTAATGCTGTAGTATCCTTTAGCTACAGTAAACTGTGGTTTATTGTAGTATAATATACCCTATAGTTGTAGAAAACAACATTATTAGGTAATGTGTTTTTATTCCTAGTTATGTATTACCACAGCAACAACCACAACACATTCATTCAAGCACTTAACAATTATATGAACCAAAATCACTATAGTATTTACTATAAATGACTATATTATTTATTTCCTAAGGGAGTCTTAAAGTTCACTGTGATAATTAAAACATGATTAGAATAAACATACATTTAGTGATGATTTGCACAGACACATACAGTAAAGGAAATTGGGTCAGAGATTTTTGCAACTATTGGTTAATGCTCACACTCGTGGTCAAAATCAAAGCTATTGCAAGATGCAAACAATTTATCATTTTTTGTGGTTTGCATGTGACAATATCATACAAAGCCACATGACACACAGACACATGGCCTTAGACAAACCTATTTTGACCAGGGCCATTAAAATAAGAATTTGACTCTGAAGTGTGCAGAATGCAACTTTTTTGTTAAATTTAGCATCTGAATACATCAAATACTGAAAAACATATTTGGTCAAAAATTGTATTTATGGAATTGAGGAAACACTGCCAGATTAAACACATGCTTTGCTGATGTCAGAATATTGAAAACTGGCTCCTACTATTGTTTTATTCTTAATTCAAATTGAAAATTCATTCATTCATTTTCTTTTTCGGTTTAGTCCCTTTATAAATCCGGGGTCGCCACAGCAGAATGAACTGCCAACTTATCCAGCAAGTTTTTACGCAGCGGATGTCCTTCCAGCCACAACCCATCTCTGGGAAACATCCACACACACACTACAGACAATTTAGCCTACCCAATTTACCTGTACCGCATATCTTTGGACTGTGGGGGAAACCGGAGCACCCGGAGGAAACCCACGCGAAGGCAGGGAGAACATGCAAACTTCACACAGAAACACCAACAGAGGCGAGGTTCGAACCAGCGACCTTCTTGCTGTGAGGCGACAGCACTACCTACTGCGCCACTGCCTCGCCCATTGAAAATTTTATTTAATTCAATTTAAAACCATTAATATGACTCTACATGATTATATTTTATGCGTTCATATGTTTTAGTATTGTTAAAAACTATCATTTTAAATTAAGAATATAACACAAATCATCTTTTTGACCCTAACACCCAAACTCAACATTGCTGAACTTTCTGCTTCTTACCCATCCACACTTCTCCAAACTGACCAGCACCCAATTTCTTCACCAGCTTCAGAGTTTCTCTGGGAATCTCCCACTCATCCTGAGCCCAGGGTCTCTGAGGGGCGGTGCTTTTACAGGGATTTCCTAACCTCTGGCACAAACCATCCGCTGTCCCTATAGGTAAAAGAACAAAAATCTTCATGGCAATGACTCTAGCAATAAGGATGTGAATAGCCACAATATTGTTGTTTTTTTCTGTTTTACCAATAAAAATTTATTCCATCAAAGCAGGACAAAAAAAGATTTTTGTTGAATGGGACTTTTTTAAATAAATCGAGTAAGTTAATATTTCAATTATCCATTCATAAAGACAGTCACTTGTTTTGTTTCTAAATTAATCAGTTGTTCTGAATATCTTTGAATAAAGGATTCAGGGATTTAGACAGTGGGACTCTTCAAATTGCCCACACTTGCAGTCTTGGCCACTTTACTATTTAATAAATTACATAATTTATTTTATCTATTTGGTCCATGTTTGGGCAAAAACAATTCTCATCTACATTTACCAAGTGCGAAAATATGAATCCAGTGACAGTGATTCTTGTTTATTCTCGACACAACTGAGTTAAGTTTGATGACTTTCTGGTATTTTAAATTAGTTTTTCATAGAAACAGAGGTTGTGGAATTTAATACTAAGGAAATTAACTACATTTATAACTGACAGGAATGTTAAAACACAATGGGTCTTATTCACTAATAATTGCATGTACTTTTTACAAATATATGCGCACATTTGAATTTACAAAAACGTTTTACTAAATTCTGAACACGTGCATACAGGCACATGAGCTTTAAAAATTTGTTCATTTGTTAGTCAATTTGGAGCGTTCTAAATGAGCACCCATGTGCGTTCAATCGTGTCCATGATTAAAGTTTGCATTTACATATTACAGAATATGCATCCGTTATATATATATATATATATATATATAGTTATATTCATTCATTCATTCATTTTCTTGTCAGCTTAGTCCCTTTATTAATCTGGGGTCACCACAGCGGAATGAACCGCCAACTTATCCAGCAAGTTTTTACACAGCAGATGCCCTTCCAGCCGCAACCCATCTCTGGGAAACATCCACACACACATTCACACACACACACTCATACACTACGGACAATTAAGCCTACCCAATTCACCTGTTCCACATGTCTTTGGACTGTGGGGGAAATCGGAGCACCCGGAGGAAACCCACGCAAAGGCAGGGAGAACATGCAAACTCCACACAGAAACGCCAACTGAGCCGAGGTTCGAACCAGCGACTCAGCGATCTTCTTGCTGTGAGGCGTCAGCACTACCTACTGCGCCACTGCCTCACCTATATAGTAATATATGTGTATATATATATATTATTTATTAATTTCTTTTTTTGGTCAATAAACTATTACCTCAATAAATCGTTTCACAGCACTATTATATATGTATGTATGTATGTATATATATATATATATATATATATATATATATATATATATATATATATATATATATATATATATATATATATATGCAATAGAAATGTAGATATATGTGACCCTTTACCACAAAACATATACAGTGTGGTCATGTACATTTAGCATTTTTTTTCTCTAAACTGACAAGAGTTAGGTTAGAAAATTAATTCATTCATTCATCTTCTTTTCGGCTTGGTCCCTTTATTATTCTGTGGTCGCCACCAACCACCAACTTATCCAACATATGTTTTCCGCAGCGATACCCTTCCAGCCGCAACCCATCACTGGAAAACACCCATACACTCTCATTCACACACATACACAATGGACAACTTAGCCTACCTAATTCACCTTTACCACATGTCTTTGGATTTGTGGGGAAAACCGGAGCACTCGGAGGAAACCCATGTGAACACAGGGAGAACATGCAAACTCCACACAGAAATGCCAATCGACCTAGTCGAGGCTCGAACCAGCAACCTTCTTGCTGTGAGGCGACAGCACTACCTACTGTGCCGAAACATCGCCCAGGTAAGAGAATTTCTTTGGTTTGATTGTTAAAGATGTATAGTTTAAAGAGGCTTTTGTCCTGGTTTGAGCTGCATTTCTACCATTGTTGTAATGAATATTGTCTGAATTGATGGAATTATGAATGTTGAAATGTACAGATAGGCTTTAATACATTACACCATTCTTTTTGGAAAGGACTTAAGTAAAGAGACTGATTGATCATACAGTATATTGTGCAAAAGCCTTAGGCCAGCAAAGCTGGTATAGTGTATATATATATACATAAGTTGCAGTTTCATTATAGAAACTGAAACTCTGGTCAAATCAGTCTTGTAGGTTTCATGACTAAATTTGAAATTTCCTGATGGTCAATCTTCTTTGATTGCAAATTCCACCAGTAAGAGCAGAGTGTGAAGGTTTAATTAGCAGAGTTATAGAACAGTTTTTATTAAAATATTGCAATGCACACAATAAATTGTGCTGTTTGTCTCACGGGCGCATCTGCTTAGTAAATGAGACCTATTGTTTTGCAAGTATTAAAGTATGTTAAATACATATTTGAATCTACAGTGCTCAGCATATGTAAGTACACCCCTCACAAATCTATCTTTTAAATTCATATTTTTAATAGTAAGCTATACAATATTGTAAATGCATATACATTAGATTAGTCAGTACTGAAGCCAAATCTGGAACTTTTCTAACAAAATAACTCAAAACTAGTACACCCAAAGTTATATGCTATAGAGAAATCAAGAGAAGCAAAAAAATCGAAACATTTAGTTGAAATTTTGTACTGTAGGTTTTGTGTTTTGTTTGTTTGTTTGTTTTTTGCAATATTTTGCTTGATTTTAATTGTATTATCTTTCAATTTCTAATTATGTTTGGTGACTATAATGTTATTTTAATAAATATATCTGTTTAATAAATCTGTTTTGGTTGAATGCACAAACACATTGCCTATATTCACTGAGAAATGGATAAAAATATTCATTTTCAAAATGGGGTGTACTCAATTATGCTGAGCACTGTATATTGTGCTCTAATCTATAATGTATAAATAATGTATTATTTTTTACACAAAACTGGATGATTTATCAGCGTTTCTGCAAGTTTCACCAAATCACATTTTAAAACATTTAAGCCATTTTAAGACAATTATGAATAAAATTTTAGACTTATACAGGGCTAAATGCTAATAAAAGTTTTCTAATATCCCCGTCCGAATAGATTTTTCACTTGCCCTATCAAAAAATGATTAAAATTGAAAACATTTAATAAAACAATAATAATAATTTTGTTTAAATTCTTTTTAAATGAATATTAAATAATAATATTAAATAAATCCATTCACAAACCCTATAACCCTTACCAAGAATAGAACAAAACATCAATTACTTGTCAATTACTTTAGTCTACAATAATGATAATAATGAAATAATAAAATAAAAAAATAGGTCAGGTCAGTATTCTCAGCAGTAAATAAATGGAGAACTTTTAAGGAAATGTTACTGTAAGGAAAGTAATTAAATTATATTTTTAAATAAAAAGTTATTATTTTTATTGAGATGGATTGCTGGTGATGGCCAGATTGGGTAGCTAAAACAAATGAGCAAAGGAAAATTTAAGACCTGTTATAAAAGATTTAAGACCTACAACACAACATTTCAGTAGATTTAATTTTAAAGGCCTAAAATTTAGCTTTTGAGATTTAAGACATTTTAAGACTTCTTAAGTCCCCGCGGATACCCTGTTTTTAAACAAACAACGTATGTTTAATTGCTGTGTTGTTTCTAAGAGAGGTGCAAACATTTTATACCAATATTTAGGAAAAATATTCTCCGCAACACATTTTACAATGTAATTATCAATAATTTTTAATTAACACTGCAACGATTTCCACAACATCTTGTGAGATCTACAAATTAGCATATTTAAAAAGACTCAGTGATTCACCATCACCTACAGGAGGTTTTAGTGTCATTTTTATATATCCATGACAGGCCAAACTATGGCACAAAAACACAATTAACTTAATACTTTACAATTCTCATTATCGAAAATATATTGAGATTTCTTTTTTCTTATTATCATACTGATAGTGTGGACGCTACTATAGTTATTATTCTTGGTGTGACTGAATAGAGTCACACAAACATAAAAAAACGTTAAAATAATTTAATAAAACAAGCATCTACTGTAGTTCACTGCAGAGCCGGCCCAAGGCATAAGCGAGCTAAGCGGCTGCTTAGGGCACCGGGGCCACCAGAGGGCCCCCAAGAGTGTTTGAAACAATGACTGTAAAAAATATGGACGACGCGACAGCCCTTTTTCCCATTGAACGCCTTGAGGGCAAAACGCCTGCTTGACGGGCACAAACTGTCGCAAAAGACTGCTGAAATTGGAGCCAGACATGCGCAGAAGGATTGTCTGATGGAGCCAGAGGAGGAGCCGCGAAAATGAGCGGAGTCGAGCTTCCAATCAAACGCTTTATGTAAAATCAACTACGCCCCCCGAACTGCTCAGCATGCGTTTGCTGTCATATCAACACAAATGGATGTAATAACGTTAACAAATATGAGGGTTTTATATATTCAATCGCGCCAGCTCCAGGCCGCAGCGCATAACTTTACTCGCGGCGTCGCGGGCTGATTCCGGCTCGCATGCGGCAGCACCGGCTCGCTCGGCCGCCGCATCTGGCTCGATTGACTCGGACTGGAATCGGGCAGTGAGTCCAGGCATCCGGAGTAGGTCCAGCAGAGGTAACATTAGTCAGTCTGAGCTCTAAGAGATAAGTTCCCGGCAGGCGAGAATCTAGCCGGAACTGTGTTTTGCTATCTGGGTGGCTAGGCGTGTATCAGCAAACTAATAAAGCCCGAAAAAAGCCCTGAACTTAGCGAATAAACAGTGTTCCACCAGGATCATGTATGTCAGAAACTATAGTTTACTGCTGAACTCATTTTGTCATGGTAAAATAACACAGAAATCGAATAATAACATTTCAGTCTACTTCAGTCTCCTGCCGAAGCTCAGACGCCGCGCTTTGAGAAACTGTCAATCACAGCTGTAAATCACGATGACACGCCCAGCATTAAATTACTGCTAAAAACAAACTGTTTACAAAAATGAAGATCTGCACCTATTTCAGCACAATAACCAGTGCCTTAATCGACCAGAACTATCTTTCGGGACATTTTATTGCAAGTGTAATATTTTTTTTTATTTGGGCTCAAGTCTCCTTCATTAACACGGGGGAGGCGGGCTTTATGACTTGTACTGCAGCCAGCCCCCAGGGGGCGATCTAACGGCCGAAACCTTCACTCAAACGTAGGCTTGCGGCACACTTGGTTTGAAATTATTGTGTGACTTTCGTTTTAGTTTGTTGAGTTGTTGATTAGTGATGGGACAAAATATGTGCCCATTTATAGTGTTATTTCTGACAGCGATACATACTCAGGCGCCAAGATATTTACCTAAATTTACAAAAGATCTGATTTAATTAATCAGTTTTCCACACTGACTGCAGCAGATAACCGCTTTAGCTACAGTACACCCAGCCGCCACCAGGTGGCGCTTCGCGTAATGGCGGATCATCGGACATACACCAGCGTCATGTAAACCACTGAGATGAGCCATTGCAATGGTGAATATCTCAGGCATACAGACACTTTCTTCTGTCCAAGCTGGGCCAATGTATTTGTGTGTTTGAGACATCCAGCTCCCCCGAATTCGCCACTAGTTTCTAACAGACGCGCTTTCACTTCGCTATATCACTCGCGCGTGCCCGCGGCCAGTGCAACTTCTTATGTGCTCAAACTTTTTAACTCCGCCAAAATATATAAAGATATCAATAGGACATGAACATATAATTACAAGGGTCTTGCGTTTATTTGACTCTTACAGAACTTGTCAAAGTCTTGTGGGTGGTATTTTGGCAAAAAATATTAGGGGAATTAAAAAACTTAAACAGATAAGTAAATAACTAATGTTCTCCACTGCTGAAAACATACGTACTCAGAGGAGTCTGTGCTCACCTCTCAGAGCATTCTGATCAGTTGAAAAAATAGTGGGAATACATATTTTTTTATTAAAAATAAACCTGGTTTAAGCATAAAAATTTTCCATGTTTACATAAAATGAGTTGGTCAAGTTGTAATGTTTTAAGTTTACAGAATGCAATAAATTACTTTTTTGACAGTTTTTTTCTTAAATGCACATTGCACAAAATTGAGATTCTGCTGCTGTGATAGATGCTCTTCAGTCATAAACTCCTCTCTGCACATCAGCATTTTTAAGCTTGTTTGACAGATGTGCACTTGTTTTACATTGTTGCAAATCTATAAATGCGTGTTTATAAAAGAATATCATAATTTTTTTTGATGCATTTTCCCCCTCGTTTACCAAAATTGTGATATATTGTGGCTGGTTTTCTTGTGATCTATCAATATATCTCAGAATCATTGATATCGTGATTGAAGCAGCAGTGCCCGGAACAGCAGCAAAATGCTTTTTCATGAACTTGGTGATAAAAAATAAGCTTCTGATTTATTGACAGTTGGTAAATACACTGCAAAAATGATTTTCTTTCTTATAGTTTTTGTGTGATTTTTAGTCCAAATATCTAAAAATTCTTAAACCAATACACATTTTCTAGACAGATTTTTAGTCAAAATTATGTGAATTTTTCATTAAAAAAGCTCAATAATCTGCCAATTAGGGTAAATAAAGAATATTGTTTTAGGTTTTAAATAAGATTATTTTACTTATCTCATTGGCAGATTAATTTGTTTTACAAAAAAAAAAAAAAATCACTTAATTTAGAATTTGTTTCTGAAAACTGAACAATTTTTGTACATATTTAGTAATTTGACTAATATGCGAGTATGTCTAGAAAATGCTTCCTGATTTACTTTGATTTTAGTTTAAATAGATGTTTTAAGTTATTTGAACTACAAAATACAATATGATTTTTTTTCAGTGTTAACATTTATATTCAATAAAAAATAAATGTATCTTTATTGTCACTATGTTTGACAGCGTCTTGTGCCTGAATAATAAAAAAAAAAGTATTTTATTGGCTACTTCCAGCTGCTTTTGTTTCTGCCAGCCCATATTAATGTTTTGTGTCAATTATTTAGATTTGGGCAAGTAGTAACATAAAAAGTTGGATCAATAGGAAGTTGTTTCTGCAGAATAATATTTAGAATTGTCTTAAAACATATATTTTATGATGTAAGCAACACAGCTACAGCGAATAAAATCGATAATGTGTGTTTTAAATTTATAGTGTGCGAATTATCAAGGATTTACGATAATTTGCCATATTGTTTGCACCAAGGGGGCCCCAAATAAAATCCTGCTTAGGGCCCCCTGAAGGCTTGGGCCGGCCCTGGTTCACTGAAATGAAACTATGTTTACTGGCTTTATAATACATCCCCAAACCAAAACGTAGAAAAATGACTCGTACACAGTTCTATAAAAAGACACAACAAACCAAAACGGTGGCGATGGTGCAGTCTATGAGCTCTGACCTATTTATCTAGTGGTTAAAGCAAGTGTTTATCCTGTTCTTTGCTGCTTCCACCACAGAAACTACACAGTAGAGGAAACAGAAAAAGCCTTTGCTGCAGCTCTGAGCACTTACTAGAGTAATACTTCACCAGCTCTTGAAGAGAAGAAAAGCTTGTGGACGGGGAGATGTAATATCCGCCATTATCCAGGGCTCGAATCTTATAGTGCTTGACCACATCACCCTGCTCTGGAGTGGAGTCTCTGATGGACAGAGAGAACGCACCTGTGAAGGAGCATTCACAAACATGAGTTAAATAAAGACCAGCTTCAGATTCAGACAAATATGTGATTAATAGATGCTCAAGTGAATTCAATCTGACAGGCACCACTGGAATGAAAACTAAAAATAATCATAAAAGAGTTTCATAAACAGATCATTGGTGGGTTTAGATGTAACTAAAATAGCTGATGTTGATTAATGCACCTTGTATAGTGTGATAAATTCTTCGATAAACTGGTCACAAGCTGTTTAGTGGGGTTTTGTAAGTGTAAACCTCCCTTAAGGTATGCTGTAAATAAAATTCTCCCTGCCTTAAATTTTTCAGAATCAAATGAACTTCATCTCAAATCATTCAAACTGACTAAAAATACAACAGTAAATTTTGTACAACAAAAAAGAAACTGGTTATTAAAAATTAAAGAAAGAAACTAAAAATTAAGAAACTTTTTAAATTAAAGGCAAAGTAACATAAAGGCATTTGTTTTCATGACTTTTTGTCATATTTTTTTACAGTGTAGTAATATAAAACTGATGATATAATGAAAAAATAAAATAATGATAATGAAATAATGACAATATAACTGTATAAAAACTAAAAAAAAAAAAATATATATATATATATATATATATATATATATATATATATATATAAATAACATTATAAACAAGATATAAATATTACGCATACAAATTTATTTATCAGGTTTTGATACTTTATGCATAAAATCAAACAATATTAGTTATTTCAAGGTTTACTAAAATGAAAAATAATAATAATCTGCATAAAAAAAATTATAAATTCCAGTTACGTCTAGTTTCTGCACCTCCCCTGGCTCTAAAATCAGACAAACAGAAAAGCTTAGAAAAAAGTTAGAAAAGCTATTTTTATCTCTACTTATGCTCTGAGCAAAAACACAAGCAAATCTCAGTACATAGTTTGACATTTATTTGCTCTTTCAGCGCTCTGCATGATGTGAACTGAAGATCAGCAGATCAGACCGTAAACTTTGAAAAATGCATCCTTTATCAACAAAGAATTTGAGCAGAGTCAAATAAAAGTAACATTCTGAACGCTGAATATTAGGAGTTCCTTCAGATATTCATTTAGTTTGAATGGTCTGATGTAAAACACTCATTTACAGTGATAGAATAGTGTACACTAATGAAAAAAAAATTAAAAGTTCTGCTTCTCTGGATTTAGAGGATATGGATTTATTTGATATTGGTTTAAGTAAAATATTCATATGGACCCTTTTCACAAGACTGTTATAACGTGTTTAATGGTCATCATGATCTTAAATCCTTGAAAGTTTCTAATGTTTGATAAAATGTTAAATTTGATCAATGTTTTTAGTTAAAGCTTATGTGAGGTGTTTCTAATGCAGCGTTTATAGTGCTGAGAGTAAATTTGACGTTATTCTCTCCTCTGGCTGCCGTCATCAGTCTCACACAATTTTTTTTCCTTTTTCTAAAAGTCTTGATAACACCATCGAGAAGTTTTTTTTTTTATTGTTACAGCAAATAGAGTTGTAAAAAAATTATTTGTTGTACTCTCCCATTCACTCAGTTTACCCAGCGATGTTGCCTTCCGCTACTGAGCAATCCGGAAATGTGAAAAGGGTCTGTTGGTTTATTTTATAAAGGTTTGATAACATTTCTTTCAAATCACACATTACAGTATTGATATTTGTAGCATTTTCCCTAAAAAAAAATTGTCAGATTTTTTCAATTCGTTTATATTTACTATGACAAACATCTGCACTGTAAAAAAAGGTTCACTCAACTTAAAATTTTAAGGCAACTTGCTACAGAGCTTTTTGAGTTGACTTAACTTTATTAGAGTCAAGTGCAAAATTTGGGTTGAAAACTGAATCATCTCAAAAAAGCTCTGCAGGAAGTTGCCTTACAATTTTGAGCTGATTCAACAATTTTTTTACAGTGGGTTTTTTGACCAAATATTGATTTCTAAAACTGAATACCAGCATGTTCTAAAACGTGACACTTTTTTGTTATCTTCTGCACCAAAAATGCTCAATTTGTAAAAGTGTAAAAAATTGTTTTATTTTAAATTTGGAGAAAATATCACAGAATAACAATTATTATTACTTGCAAACTAAAACCTCAAACATAAAAAATACTAAATCGATATAAAGTTTTTAAGTGGTTTCTAAAATGTTTACACAGATCGACAGTACTATATGATTTCTTTAGTATCAGTTAGGTAATATTGGTTACTTTATTAGACTTATTTTGCAGCCAGGAGTCCTAATTCATGACACAATGCCTCACAAAATCTTACAGACAGTAACAAAATCAAAGCCTTCAAGAGTCCAGTCCTCTCACAAAATTAATCAAATGAATAAACCAAATAAATCCTCTCTTCTTAGTCCAAATGGTATATAAAATAAAACTACAAGCAACAGAAACACCTCGGCTTTAGCCTATTTTTGTATCCTTAAGTTCTACAACTTGACACTTGTATTTCTTTTTAATATTGCTAAATAATTAATTAAAGGCAAAAGCCCTTAAACAACTGCGTGCAATAAGCACTATATTACAATGTTATTGTAATAAACTGCAGCAACAAATTAATAAATAAGTCATTGATCCTAACCAGTGAACCACTGACATACAGTACAACACAATAAGTGATAATGTGGAAATGTCTGACCTTTGGTTGTTTCACTTTCTCTCACAAGAAAGGAACCAGGTTTATTTCCTGGTGCTAGCAGAAGACGCTCTGTATCTCTACGATTCATGTCCTTAAAAAACCATCTGGAACAAAAACAGGAACCTTAATAATATCATTCTTCTCCAAGTAAGTCAGCAAATTATACAACAGACAAGGGACATTCCAAAGATGCTGATATTATTAAGCACAGTAAAACAGCAGAGCAACATTTGGAGTCCACAGCTGAAATACAGCAAAAAGCAGCAAACACTATTTATCGTGAGAAAAAAAAAAAAAAAAAAACATTTATTGATCATATTTGCTCTTACCGCTCCACCTGTAGCGTTTGCGCTCTTGCCACATACGTAGATGGAATAAATCCCTCATAACCTGTGACCAAGGACTTCGCCAACCACCATTCTCCATTTCTAAACAAACAAAAAACAACCAAGACATATCAGATTTAGCTTTTTCTTTTTACTGTGAGATTGAAGTTTGTACTAATTTACATGACTTTGGAATTGAAACATTTAAAGCAAATCTGGAGTGAGTTTAAATGAAGCATAACAGCAATATTAACACTTTTTAAAAAACATTTTTGAGGGTATTTTTAGCGCCATCTCTCAGCAATTCATAATGTTTTGATTTAGCAACTAATTCAAATGAATTCGTCAGATCTTATTCATACATTTTAGTATAACTTGTTCATGTCCCAAAGAGGGGTAGGGTAAAGGGGGAGTTTGGGGGCACAAATATCATAAATTTTTTATACAAACGGAATTGTATGAATTTGTATGAGTTCCCTTCTGTTCTGACGAGTTACATTGCCTTGTGACATCAGGTTGGGTACTTTTGGAACACAGATTCAAATTTAATTAGATTTGATTGATTTATTTCGAACAAAATAATAAAACCTTTAAAACAATTATTCAAACACTAACAAATGTTATCATTATGAACAGAACATCTGAATATCTGTATAAAACAAATTTCAATCATTAAGAAATGCACAAGTTTAATATTATTCATTATTCTTTGTTGCCCCAAATACCCCATAATTTGATTATCAAATTATTTAATCTCTTATCTTTTCATCCACTTTTATCTATTCTGTTCCCTTATAGATACCATTTGTACATTTGCTTAAATTGAGCGTCATAAAGTTAATAAGTTCTAACTTAAGCTTTGGATTCTTGTACAAATAAATACCCAATACTTCACAACTTCTTGTTATATTATAACATGTTAGAATTTGTGCTGTATTTTAGTTATAGTCTATATTCATATTTAGCAAGTTGTTTACTCACTCCTTAATAATCCTGAGTCTGTCCCCTTTTTTGAATTGAAGATCATTTTCACTAGCAGGCTGGAAGTCATATTGTGCAATAACAACATCTTCATCTGAAAAAAAAAAGTTAAATTTGTTAAAAAATTCCTTTCAAATAATCTTACATCTGCAACATCTCATCATGTAAACCAGGGTTAAGAAATAACATTTTCTCTTATGAAAAGTGAATTTAATTACCTCTATTTTAAACATTTACCTATTTTAATCAAAATACTCTAATACATAATAACCAACTGATAACTAATAGCGCCAATACAACTCATTTTTACATTTCATTTTGATCAAAAGCTTAATTATTTTTGGGACATGTTTTGTCTGCTTTTCCTTGCATTTGTGATGTATATTATTGTCTTTATTTTAGACAATGCAATATGTTTAATGATGTGACCATAGCATTATAAAAGTTTCCTTTTCCTTTCTTTTTTAGAAAAGATTTTAACATTTTCAGTAGAAACACAGTGATTAGGCCAAAAACCATAATGACTATTCAAATATTACTAAATAAGTTGCAATAAACAGATACTCTTCACTAATGCCAAATTCGATAACTGAAATAAAACATATGCATTACCTTGGTTGTTGTTTTGCTTCTTGTGATCTCTTGACGCCTGTAAATAACAAGAATAATATATAATATATATAAAATATATATAACTTATTGACCAAAATGTTTGTTTTTTAAAAACAAGACATAATACATTTTTAAATATAATTTAAGATAACATTTGTAATTAGTTACTTTACACCACTGGTAACACTGCATTACAACATACCACAATGTTATTACAAACTATGCTTCTGTGACTTTAATGTCATAAACATAATTTTTACAAACATAAAAAGAAAGAAAACACAGAATACAAAAACTATTAGCTTTTTTAAACTTAAAAAAATTAATAATAAAATAAAATAAAATAAAATAAAATAAAATTAAATTAAATTAAATTAAATTAAATTAAATTAAATTAAAAATTATAATTAAATACTAAAACCAGCAATACTTACGTGAGATGTCTTAGAGTTTGTTGAATTATAATGCTCATGACCTTTTGGATGGTTCTGGTCACTACAAGCACAACCCATCCTTAAAAATGAAATGTGATCATCTTCTTGTGTAGGGTTAATTAACATTTATTTATAAAATTTGATTTGATGCTGGAAATCACACCTTGTGGAGTTCAGTAAAAGTCCAAAAGATATGCTGAAAGGTCCAGATATTCATCATTCTTGGTGCTAAACAAAAGAAAAAAGATTTTTAAGCTCATCCACATAAGTTACACATTTATTTATAAATACTGTACAGCATCAACAGTTAATGATTTCACTATAATTAAACGATTTACTCAACCAGACAGTCATTGAAAATGCAAATCTCATCACACAAATAATAAACCAACATATTAAATATGAAGTGTCATCCATACAATTATAAAATGAACACAGTGTCTTTATACTTTAGTTTGTAAAATACAATAGTTTGCTAAGTTTAGATGACTTGCTCTAGCAAACAGAAATCTGAATCTGATCACATAAATAATAAACCAACATTTTAAATATGAAGTGTCATCCATACAATTATAAAATGAACACAGTGTCTTTATACTTCAGTCTGTAAAATACAATAGTTTACAGTAAGTACAAACAGATGACTTGCTCCATAGCAAACACAAATGTGAATCTGATCACAAATAATAAACCAACATATTATAAATGAAGTGTCATCCATACAATTATAAAATGAATAGTCTCCTTATGCTTTAGTCTGTAAAATGTAATAGCTTATACAAATAGATGACTTGCTCTATAGCAAACACAAATGTGAATCTGATCACACAAATAACAAACCAGCATATTAAAATTTGAAATAAAATGTGACTTCTTACCCTTATGTTATGAAAACAGATTCCATCGGACAAAAGTATGAACTAGTTCAAAAGATAAACAAGACATTTCTTAGACAATTAACAGATCAGTGAGTTACGTAAAAATGTTAACAGTGATGTTGAGAATACTTTGGAGATGATTGATGATCATTTTTACATTACCTTTTTAAAATTATTAATAAATACAAGCATCATCATTATCTAAATCACACTTATTATCTGTAAAGATGATGTAAAACAAACAATTTTACTCAGAAATTACTAGTAAATTTCTCAAACAATTACAGAACAACAGCCATTAATTAATTTTAAAGTTAAACTTTTTGCGTGTCATGGTTAACATGGTCAAATAATCTAAAAATGTAACTTTAAAAAACTCACTAAGCAATCATGGTCAACTGCTGTGCACTTTTATTTTAAAGTAAATTATAAAATTTGTACTTACATGTTATGTGTCCTCGGCACTCTTAAATATGTAATAATCCAATGTTAGGTTTTAGGTATCTCTCTTGTTCATATATAAAAAATAAATAATTGAAGACATGGAGAGACTATCTACTGCACACACAGACACAGAAACACACAGGTTTAGTCTGCATTAGAGGCCCAGCACATATGCCCTAAGAGACCCCATTAGTGGAAAGAGATAAACAGAGATCAGTAGTTGTGTTTATTTAGCTTTCCCCTCCCTCCCTTTCCTCTGTCACTGGTTAATTCACAAACTATGTAAATGCCTTAAAGTAAAGCATGCATATGATGACCATGTGATGTCAGACAACGAAGCTGCACCCAACAGCATTTTCAACATCCTTATTCTGGGAAACTGTTTCATTCTTGAAGAGTTTAGCCAAATTCATGATGTTGTTGTTTCTATGCATGTTGGCAACAAGGAAGCATGAGCACTTCTTAGAAACACCGAAATAACAATTCCAAATATGTTTCAAGAAATGAAACCTTCTTTAAAAATCATAGAAGGAATCTGTTCTCATTATATAGACTGAAAAAAAAAATTTGGTTTAGAAATTATGTTTACACAGAAACTGCAAAAAAGTTCACAAATAATTAGACCACCAAAAAAGGATTACATACTTAATTAAATGTGAAATTTTTAAGAATATACAGTGCTCAGCACAAATAAGTACATCCAAAAACTAGTACACCCAAATTTTGGCTATAGAAAAATATTAAATACAAATTTAAAAAAGAGGAAAAATCAAGAAAAGCAAAAAATGTAAAAATTTTGTAGGTTGCATTTTTTTTTCAATATTTTGCTTGAATTTAATGTGATTATCATTCAATTTCTAAGTATGTTTGGTGACTACAATATAATTTTAATAAATATATCTCTTTAATAAATCTGTTTTGTTGAAATGCACCAAAATACATAGCCTAAATTCACTGAGAAATGGAAAATTTAAATATTCATTTTCAAAATGTGGTGTACTTAATTATGCTGAACGCTGTAATTTGTGTTGTTAAAATATTCTCTAATTATCATTTAAAAAAATAGTAGCTTCATATTATGCCTAAAGATAAAAATATATACTAAAATATTGTCAAGTTGAACAAGATACAGCTGATTCAAGTTCAAGTCTGCATCTAAATAGGATTTAGCTCTACACAGCAGTAGCTTTTTTCACAGGATGTTGTTGGCTAGCCCCTACAGACAGCGTTTCCCTTTATAGGCACTGCGGTTTTCTACGGTTAAATTTCAGTTAATCTGATGTCTATCTTTTGCACATTCATTTTCTTTGCAGTTTTTAAACCCTGTTAGGTCTTGAATATTGGATTAAATCACAACTATTTTGTGGCTTTAAATTTTCGTCATATCACATCATCTTTAAAACTTGTAAATTCACAACATCCTGACTCCTTCTGCACTACACAGAATTTCGTCCAGCCAGTCTCGAAATGAGAATGTCCCTCCTTTTAATGCCAAGTATCAAAATTACTTGAATGATTTAGATTTTTGGGAAGTGGCATAAATTAAAAATGCCAATACCTTTTGGAACAACTCACTATCTTCTGTAACACAGCAAATGTCATGAAGGAAGTTAGGTAACTGTACACTCTCAGAAATAAAGGTATGCTAGCTGTCACTGGGGTGGTACCTTTTCAAAAGGTACGGTTCGATTTGTTCCTAAAAGGTTCATATTAATACCTCAAGGGTGCATATTAGTACCTAAAAAGTACAAAAGTGATCCTCTTAAAATGTGTAGGTACTAAAATATACCTTTGTAGTACCATTATAAACCCTTTAAGTACAAATGTGTACCTTTTGAAAAGGTATCACCCCAGTGACAGCTTGGGTACCTTTATTTCTGAGAGTGTATTTCGGAGTAAAATGTAACAAAATGATGCAATATTTTGGAGGGAGACATTTTGTGAAGGTACATACTGTGAAGGGCAGCAATTATATCACACCTGCAGGTTCTGTCACGATGGACGTCCAGCGTTCTCCATTCTCTGGCGCCTAGACAGCAGCTCTGCAGAAAAAGTTTGGCCAGGAAATGTTTATGCCCAACTGAGCCTGGTTTCTCTCAAGGTTTTTTCCTTCACCTTGGTCAATTGGTGAAGTTTGTTTCCTCGCCGCTGTCACTAATGGCTTGCTTGGTTTGGGACTTGTGAAGCTGCGCATCAAAAGATTTGCTCTTTAGTGTTTCAACTTTTTAGCAGTAAAAATTAAACCACACTGAACTGAACTGAACTAAACTGAACTCTGAACAACTCTGAAAACTGGACTGACAGTTTCAATTCACTAGAACTTCTATCTTAAGCTGCTTTGACACAATCTACATAGTAAAAGTGCTATAAATAATAATAAATAAGAAATAAAGATGAGTTTTATTTTATAAATCTGCATAGAAGCCTCACAGCTCATCTATATTTCTGCTTTTCTTACTTGTTCACTATGTAGGGAAGAGCGAGCACAACCAAACACTTTTTAACTTTCTCAGTCTGTCTGAATGTACATGGTGTTCTTGTATTCCTTTTTAAATTAATTTCACACTTGTCTGGTACAAATATTGCTATGAACATTAACATAAATAACATTTGAGTTTAACAATAAGCCCACTGTACAGCATAGAATTCAAAACAATGTGGGAAATGGTTGATAAAGAGAGACAGTATGTCACAGAAGCTTAGTTTCTAATAACACTGTGGTATGTTGTAATGCAGTCTACAGGGTTTTTCTGTAGGCCTACAATTTAAACTGGTTATATTTTCTGCAGTAGTAGCAATTCTGTGTGCTAAATTAGAGTCTAAAGATTAAATAATAGCAGATTTGTCTCATTATATAAACAATAAAAAGATGAAAGGTTACTTCAGACAGGAATTTACTGGAATCTTCAATGACATCTTCGAATATTTTTGTTGTTGTTGCGTCGATATGACAACTAGTGAATACCGTTTGTTGTGTTATGTGTTAGAAACATGCTTGTCAACTTACCGATATAAATTACAACAACCTTACTTATAAATGTAACGTAATACTTTATAGAACAACTGAATATTTTCAGGCCTATATACTTACGCATGCTGAATGAAACTTCGACGAACACGTGCAGTTTTGTTTATTAACCGCTAGAGGGTTGCCATGAGTTGCATTTTTCCACCCAAATGTTAACTCGAGTATTCAAGCAAATTCAACACAATATTCAAGAGGTAAGCATATCGTAATTTGCAAATTTCAGTTTATGTGTTTTGTTATTGAATGATAATATTGATATACAGTATCTTGACAATGACTTGTATTGAAATCTGGCTTGAATCTATTTCTGACCTAATTCCCCCTCTTTTACCAGCTTTTTTGTCTTTGTTTATCTGAAAAATGAACACCAAAACACTAAGAGAAAGCCTGACAAAAAAATAAATAAAAGGAATGATGACATTGCTTAAGCTTTACAGAATGTTTTATTAGCAATAAACTTGGATGAATAAAGAAGACATCATATCACATAATTATACAATTAACTGAAGATACAAAAAAAACAAAAAAAAAACAAATAAACATTTTTGGTACAACACAATTTTTTCTGCACATTAAATTTTTGCCCAAACAAAGTTAACCTTTTGCACAAGTTCCTTTTTTTGAACACTAACTTTTTGGCTTAAACAAATTAATTGTACAGTTTTTTTTCCTTGCAAAGCACTAACTATTCTTTTTTTTTTTTTTTTTTTTTGCACAATAATATTTAGCTTTATTGTTTAAAGTTAGTGCTTAGTTAGTGTTTTGCTGTGTGGGTGTGTTTTTGTGAACATGTCTTTTCGCACAATACAAACCTTGTGTCCACACTAACCTTTCTGCCCAAAAGAGTTGTTGTTGTTGTTGTTGTTGTTGTTGTTGTTTATGTGCAGATTTCTCATTGCACAGCACTAACTTTTTTGTGCACACTAACATTTTGCTCCAAAGTATGTTAATGTTGTGCAATCCTGAGATCTCAATATCTATGCAAATAGAATTAGAATTTATATAGAATTATAGGCATGAAAACGTTGGTGGGAAAAATCAAGAAACCCTAGACTATACTCAGAATACATCCATGACATTTAGCGTTGTGGACCTTTTTGCTCAACACTATAACATGTAATAGTTGGTGTTGTGCAAGAGTTTTGCACATTTCTTTACGTGAATCCTTGTGTTGGGCTTGTCCTTTGTGTACAATTTTTCCACATTAACATTTATAGGCCAAAACTTTCTTCTTTTATCTTCATCTCCTCATTCTTATCCTTATTCTCCTCTATATGTATTTCAGTCTCTTCTCTTTTATCCTTATCTGCCTTCCCAATTAATAGTGTGGGTTAAGCTTACCTCTCTACCAATCTCTTATTATCAAACTTGACACAGCGGTTTTCATTGTTTCATATGTTCTTTTTTCATTTTCTGTTTAGCACTTCACATCTCTTCATTCTTCTCTCCATTTTGAACATGTCACTGTAACTGGGCAAAAGCAAAAGATCTATCAACTGGTCAAAAGAGGGAGAGGGGAGACATCACATCATTTTTATTTAATAAAATACAACATTGTACTCATATAAAATGCCAAATAATATTTTTTAACAAAAAATATTTATTTATTTATTTATTTATTTTGTTTGTTTGTTTGTTTGTTTGTTTGTTTATATTTATTTACTTAAATATTTTAATGAAGTTGCCTTGATGAATAGGAGGAATCTCTCGATTGAGTTTGAATTTGTCTTAATAATTTCTTCCATGAGTAATAATTTTTTTCCAGGATTTTTAATCATCAGGTTTCAGTTGGTTTTAGCTGTAGAAAATATCAGAAATTAAAAATTAAAATAGATTCAAAAACAAAACACGAGGCCATTACAAACCGTTCACAAGAGGGCAGCAAAGTTTAATTTGGACGTTATGCCTAGAACACTTTAATCTGTCTCTTCTCAGACACCCGCAATAAAATGTTGCAATTTCTATATAATGACTACTGTTTTTAACGGTAATAAAATTTTTGATTACAATTTTAGATTTTTTTATTTAGCCTAATTTAGGAATGTCATTAGTCGTTGTCACTGTACCCGTTATCTCAATTTCAAACTTGAATTTTTGAATTCCAACAAATTTCCATTTCCCATGTTATTAATTTCATGTTCCTTGTGAATAGAGTAAAAAAGTTATCATTGTACACCCATTGCTGATTGATTACATTTAGAACTGGGGGGGGGAAGTCTAAATGAGACTTTTCTTTCTTTTTCTTTTCTTTTCTTTTTTTTTTTTTTTTTTTTTTTTTGTAAAATAAACCATCTAATCAGGTTTGCAATTCTGGTTTATTTATTTATTTATTTTTTGACATATTAGAGTCAGGTTTTTACAGATGAATATTTTTATCACTTAATAGAAAAACATATTGCTAACATATAAGTTTACCAATTCCCACTATTAGTGTTTATTGCTTTATCCTCCATATTATCAAAATATTGGCTGTTGATTAGTACTCATAAAGATCTTATTATCTACACCCATAATCCTATCCAGTGGCTAAACCCAACTACCTTAATTAACTGTTAACATGCAGCAAATTAGAAGTTTACTGAGGCAAAAGTTGTGTTAATAA